AACTGCGGGGAACCATGCAAAAAACGCATCTTCGCACGGGCAGCCCGTGCGTTGGCCAATTATTAAAATTGCCGGTGGTTTTAGTGATAGATCGCTCTGTTTTGTTTCTTCATGTTTGCGGAATTGTCTTCACTTTTATTCGTGCGACGGTCGTTGCATTTTGGGCACGTTTAGATGTTTAATTACGATCTGAAGGGAAGCAGCGCTTGGCGAGCATGCTCCATTTATATCGTACGATCTTTTTCTAATTAATGTTGTTGTCGTCGTTGTCATTGGTGGTGGTGGTGGTAATGGCGGCGGGACTAGTTGTGGTGCATGGTGCTCGTCTGGCCTTTTAGGATCTGGTGATCTGACCGTCAAGTCTCATAGTGATGCTGCTGCTTTTATTGAACGGTTGGAGCGACTAAGTTCAGCTGCCGTAGATGGAAATAGCTTAATCTTTTTCGTCTCGACAACAAGGGTTTTATTTTTTGAACACCGAGTCTGAAGACTTAACAGTGCGGACGTATCATGTGTGCTGAATACCCAGGCTGTTCCCACCCGGAGTATGAGGTTATTCGGTGACCGACCCGTCGGCAAGATTACTAGTTGGCTAGTAGTTGCTCTCCTGGCTTTGTCATCTCCACTAAACGCAGCTTGGCCGCGCAATATACATTCTTTTGGATTTGGACTCGAGTTGCGAAAATCGTAAATATTGAGGAGTTTTTTTGTTCATGTAGGGTCCTAAGTTTTTTGTCTAGCTGCCTCTCCCCCAGCATCAGGTTTCATACTGAACATGAAGATACCGTGAGAACACATTTCCCGCATCATGACTGCGCTCCTATCTTCAATTCCTACCTCCAAGCGGAATTTCACTGGTTTGCAATCACTAACCCCGTTCCTTTCTTCCACTCTTCGCCACTATTCCGAGACTTAATCCACCATCCTCCCCTCGTTTTCCTTCCTCCGTCTTTTAACCCTCTGCATCCCAATTCTCCCTTGCTGTTTCATTTCCCCGCCTTCCCACCCCTTGGAACTTGTCTCCAGCCCGACCGAACCGAATTTAGTAACTGCTAAATTTTGCCGTAATTTATGTTTATTTGTGTGTATGTTTTTTTTTCTCCTTTTTGCACGACTTAGCTTGCATTTTCTGAAGGATGACTAAATTTACAAAAAGTGGTGTTGTTGTTGTTGTTGGTAGTCTCGGAAAAAAATGATTTTTTCTTTTATGCATTTCGTGAATCACGTTGTGTGCGATGAGAGGCTAACTGGGAAAGGCAGGACGTTTATCACTTGAACGGTCCGGTTAGATGGGAGCGTCGAAACTCTTTTCGTGTTTGCCTGTATGTCAGAAAGAAAAGCACTTAAAAAAGTGAGTGATTAGCACATTGCCAGCAACAAACAGTCGCTGGCGATGCTCATCTAATAGTTGCTTAGAAGCAAAGCAGACTGGTAACGGTGCATAATTTCTTGACATTAGCTAGCACTGCACCGAAAATTTATTGAAAAAGTCGACTTCAGTGACGGGATTGAAAATTGCAGAGTTGATTAGCATGCAAAAGAAAACTTAAAATTGGAAGGTTGTTCCGGTACATTCAACCACATTCGTCACACCTTGCAAACGCACCGGAAACCCATTTGTTTTTTTAGCTGCCCTTGTACTAGGTGAAAGTTGGGCAGCAGCTAAGCGATCTGGGCCTACTTCAGGAAACAGAATTTCACTAACGTGCAAATACCCTCACTCACTCACTCGCACAGCGTTGAATGTATAAAAGAAAAATGCTAAATAGTGTTCCAGTTAGACCTGAATGATACGGAAGCAGCGGCGAGCCTGTCGCGGAAGCTCCGGTGCCCCTGGTGTTCTTTCTTTTCCGGCTTTTCCGCGTTTCGCTACTGAATATAATCGTTTCATGCTCATTCCTCCACTTCGCATTTCACAGCCTGCGTCCATTCTCTTTTCTGAGTATTATGAATTCTTCGCCAATTTTTTTGTGCTCGTTTTTCTGGTAGGTGCGCTTCGATACCTGGTGGAAGCATTCATTTCTGCGACACCATAAAAACATTCCTGTGAGTGGTGTCCTTTTTTTCTCCTTTTCCTTCTCGTGCTGTCTGATCTTGGTGCTCACAGCTTTTGCACTTATTTTCCATCAGATTGCCGGTTCTAAATGTCTCCTTTCGTTTGTGCGATTTTTTGTGAGGAGTACAGCACACAAAAAAGTGTGGGCTTTTACGGTGCCAGGAGAATCCTCAGCCTCTTGCTGCTGCTCTGTACCTTGGAATCCTCAGCCTCTTGCTGCTGCTCTGTACCTTGGCTCACAAAAGAAACTCACCTCTTTGCACACTTGTCATTCATCACAGTATTCTTTTTTCCCGCTTCTGGGCACGGGTTCGCCGCTGTGTCTGTGCTTTGACTGAAGTCATTTCGACTGTATGTGATTTTATTTCAGGCGGAAAGTGTTGACGATGAGGATAACGATGAGAATGTGGATAACATGCAACCGCCAGTGCCCTCTTTCTCGGTGGCGCACATCGCTGTAAGATTTACATTTTCTGTGTTTTTTTTTTTTTTGCTGACAAACGGTGCATGTAACTTTTTGTTTTTATACAGTATGCTGAAATAGTATGAGTGAAAAATGAGAACGGTAGAAGATAACTGACTTTATTGGTGCCCGTTCATTCGTCTTCAACTGCAGAAGAAATAAAATTGAGTTTGGCAGGAAGTTCTTGGAGCTACATCGGACAAACTCGAGTGAAAGTGGCAGGCAGTTTCAGAGTGGATAAAAGCGTGACTTCTTTTTTGATGTTTTGCAGTAGTGAGATACTCAGGCATGTCAGCAGCCAGTCTTGGCGTAGGATGGCTGGAAGGAGGATAAATAAGTGGTCTCTTACGCCAACTAGAGTGTGCTTGCGCCTGAATTTTTTACACAGCACTTCAGCACCTAAACCATTGACGAGGGCACCCAGAAGTCTTATTCAGGCATGCCAGCAGTCAGTCTCTCACAAGCTCTTGGTGTACACGAGAGCGCATCCGTGGCGACCGCACTACTTTTGGCATTACAGTCCTCTGGCCACACTGAGCACCAGTTTTTATTTCCCTTCAGAGAATGTAGCCACCCGGAAGCAAACCAAGTTTTGGGCATATCCTCTACAGCAGCTACAGGGCCAGTACGAAATCGAATCGACTTATCGTCGAGGGGTCGCTTTCTTGCACCTGCTGGCTCGCATCAGCGATCTGAGCCTGGTTGTGTTGCATCACTTGGCCCTGATTTATGTATGTGGTGTGGCCGGTTAAATCTAGGCGGCTTTTCTGAAGGAGACTCGCTCGTTTCCCTGTGCAGATCCTCCTACTGCTGCTACTGCGTACAGCATGAAAGCACATCCTGCCCACTAATTTCTCAGTAAATAACGCTGCGAGAGCAGTTGCTTTTTCAAATTTCAAATTGGTGCAGTGTTATATGAAATAGTCGTTTGCAGAGATTTGCGCTAGTGTGGATGGTGCGCGGCTGAAGCTGCGCCTTGCTGCAGCTAAGCATTCCATTTTACATCTGTTGCTGGTCGCCTGTTTGCACATACTGTTGGCTTTTCCTGTAACGTAGCATTCTCTCCTCATAATTTATCGAACGTTGAAATTTCGAAAAACAACAAAAATTTCTGCTAGTAAGCTCCAGTAGGACTGGTGACAAATATGACGATGATTATATCTGAATACTTGGTACATTTGTAATCTGGCGGGACTAGCATCATTTGCAGTTGCTTTGACCGGTGCTGCATCTCTGATAATTAGTCCGTTGGCATTTCTGATGTTCATTTTCTTCCTAAACATACCAGGCGGTTTCTTGTAGCCGAAGTGCTGTTCTTTTAGTTGTACAGAAAAGATATGAATAATGAAAGGGGACAGTACAATATAAAATTTTAAGATGCACTAAATTGTGGTATATTATACAGATTGTGTGGCCAGGGTGGTTGGCCCCTTTCTTATGAGTTAGCAGCTGTAATGATTGTTCCTCCCCCCCCTCCCAGCGAGTCCAGCCCGCTACTGCATCTACTGTTTTAAGAGGTAAATGCACTTGGCCCAGCGCATTAGACAGCAGTCACCTCGCAAGGGTACGATGGCTTCTTTTTCCAAGGGTTGCTTTTTTATCAGACGAGCTGATATTTTGACTTCCTTACGTGCCATGATAGCAAATATGAATGAACGAATTCTGGGAAGTTTCGTCTTGCCATTATTAGAGCCAGACCCTCGACCTCTGGCGAGACTAGCCATTGCATCAGCCTTCCTCCATGCGCTTCTGCTTTGTTGTTCTCCTTCATTTTCTGCAGTTTCTTCTCGGGTGCTCCGACGTCACAATGAATTAGGTGGTGACCTCGTACTTTATTTGATGCAAGTGTTCAGCATCTGCGAGTTATGACGAGTGTACAGTACAAAACTAAAAGTTGTGGTTTTTGGGAGGGCGGAAAGCATAAAGGAATAATTGGCCAACGCACGGGCTGCTCGTGCGAAGATGCGTTTTTTGCATAGCTCCCCGCAGATT